TCACAGCGCCTGCGCAACTTCGCAGTGTTGCCAAGTCCGCGGTTTTCCAGCGGTAGTTTTTAGTAGCAATTGGGCGTTTCTTTTTTAAATATCCTGGCAACCCTGAAACTTCAGTACTAAAATCATGACGTCATGATTTCGCCCCGGTTAAAGGCATAGTAGTGTAAGTGATTTTTCAAAAACACTTTATAAAACTGATTCGGGCCGAATCGCAAAACAAACTTGTAGCCAATCAGCAATAAGGGGCGTGTCTACTCGTGATGTGGAGGAGAGAGCTTTCAGTGCATGGGACAGACATTAGCCGAGCGACAGAAAGATGGAGATGGTGGATAAAAAACAAAAGAGGAAAACGTCTGCGGAACGATAAGGCAAGAAGTAGGACCCGTGTAAATATCGGATCAGCTTTCCAGCGCTGGAGAGAACTCAAGGAGTGGAGGCCTGCGATCGGACGCCGAGGTTGCTATGTTTCTTCTCAGTAGGTGAGTAACACCGTGTCTACAACAGCTAAAGTCTGCCTACACTGGACGCGATCAAACGACCGTTGAAAACCATTTGAAATTTGTGTCAGCACGTCATAAATAGAACCCGGCAGCAGTTTTCTGTCGGGGATTTGTTGCGCCGCGCCGCTCACGTCCGTAGACACGGTGTAACATTGGTTTTGCTTTGTTTCACAGAACTAATCCTTGCCTGGGTTGCGTACGTATATGTAGGGCGGAGCTATCAAAATAGGGGCAAGACCCTTTTGGGGTAGGGGCGTGTTTGTTTTGGTGATTTCAAATATCAACATTGGCTACCAGAAATCACTTACTCTGCCTTTAACTATTATGAATTGTGTTTTCTGAACCCTAGGTGGTGCCAAAATTGCATCTCTGAATGCACATAGACGCTCTCATGAAAGTTGTACTTTAATTAGACAGAGGCTTTCATTTAACAGCAAAGACCCCCAAATATGATGAATGATGATGAATATGATTTTTTCCACCCAGTGTTATAACAATTTTGGATTTATTTTATAGCATTTTTCACAATGTGCTTTACACAGAGCAGTGTCATAACTGCCAGTAGGAAGTTGATAGAGTCAGTGAAAAGATGTAAAACACAACAAACAATTCTGGAATACAATTACAAGTGATCAACACATTTAGAAATAAATATACTATATGCAGATTCCCTTTAGCGCCCCCTTGCGGTCCCCTGGGCTCTGCAGACCCCAAATGTGTAAAATAATAATAAAAAGAACTAGAGTGAAGTTTTGATGTAGAGTGGAGGGTCCACCTTCAAGCTCCACTGTGTGATGTGAGTCATGACCGTACAGCTGTTGGTTATCTTGCATTCACATATCCATTACTGTTGAAGCTGACCTGAATGGTGCCTTTTGATGAGCTGTGTTCCTCTTTCCGTGCTTGACATGTGAGAGTCAAATACCACACGAAAATAAAGACACCTAGAGGATGAAATGGACAGTATTAATGTCAGAGAATACAGGAGCTTCTGCTTCACATTGCCAATTTAGGGCCAAAAACCCAAATCAAATAAATAAACAACTGGCACTTCATGCAAGAGGTTTAAAATATGCATTGAAATTAATAATAAAAAAAATGACGTCAACATTTTTATTTTTGAACAAATGGTCAGTCAAAGGACATGCTTAATTATCATATTTTAGTTGTAAAGGAAAGGGAATTCATTTTAGTGTAGACCACGCTCTAAAACTAAGTAGCTAACAAACGATTGTCCTGGACGTCTGTAAATGGACTGGCAGAAACATTGTGAATCTTTTGAGTGTCTGCTGGTTTAAACGGATCTCGAGTCAGATTAATTATTTGTAGAGTACATTTAGTTTACACTTTAATGAAAACATTTGCAATTGTTCTGTAAAAGGTGTCATTATGACTATTTGGTCTGAGTTTTGGTTGCACTTACACAGCAGGTGCCGCCAGCGTGTGATGTTTTGAGCAGTGTTACTAACTTAAAGGGATACTCCACCCCAAAATGAAAATTTTGTCATTAATCACTTACCCCCATGCCGTTCCAAACCCCTAAAAGCTTCGTTCGTCTTCGGAACACAATTTAAGATATTTTGGATGAAAACCGGGAGGCTTGTGACTCTCCCAATGACTGCCAAGTAAATTACACTGTCAAGGTCCAGAAAAGTATGAAAGACATCGTCAGAATAGTCCATCTGCCATCAGTGGTTCAACCATAACGTTATGAAGCGACGAGAATACTTTTTGTACGTGATGAAAACAAAAATAACGACTTTATTCAACAATTCGTCTCCTCTGTGTTCTCTCCACATCTCTGTAGCGCCATTTTGGAGAATATCTGCTGAACGCAAACACAGCACATTGTGCCCTATTTTTTATAGACTTTTAGAGTGTAGCATACTAATCAATACACTGCTTAAAATTGTAATTGTTTAGAATACTAGTTAATGAGAATATACATAAAATGTAAATGTTCAAAAATGTGTAAACTTCTACAATTCATTACTGTATTACAAAATCTGATCATAGAAATCTTGTTTATATTACTTTTACAAATAAATGATAAATAAATAATTTTATGAACAAATCTAAATGAACATTTCAAATCATATTTTTTTTCTGAGATGGACAGTCAGTTTGCGTAATCATCATTGGGTTTTTTTTAAGTTACCTTATACACTAAAGGGGTTGAACACAAGTACAAATTCATATAAAAATATTAAAGTGTTTACAAACTTTCACCATTTTAATTGCATTTAGTTTCACAGAAAATTGTATTGTGTCGAGTACACAGTGACAGTTTTGTGTTGTTAAGTAATGACGTGATGGCGCAATGACATCACAACACATTTAGCAACTTTTAGCAACAAATCAACCTGCTTTTAGCAACTTCCAACTTGTTTTGGACATTTTGAGGGCATGTGGATGTGATGTGACAGGAAGTCATTGTCATATATAGGGACTGCTAAACAGCTCATGAAAAATGGGGGCAAAAACAAAAGTGTTGCGTTTATAATTTTGTTCAGTGTAGAAGTTTATTTTAAAGTGTGAAATATTACACACATGCACAAAATGTGTAAATAAATGTTTAAACATTTTTAAAACATTATGTTGTAATGCTATACTATATTCATGATTCTATACTAAGTTTTGTCTCACATATCTAACTATTTTCACTCCAAAGTACTTTTTTTTTTTGCTTTCAAAAAGTGATAGGACAGGATATGTACCCTATTAATGAAAGTGACAGTTATGCATGATTGTACCTCATTAACACCTGCTTTTTTTTCAAATAACACTGTAATAAATTCTTACCCTGAAAACTGTTGAGAATGGTGAAAACATAGAGTGAAGGGAGACTCAAGGGGCCATGGGTGGAGAAAGCCAGGACCCAGGGCACTCCCAGAGAACAGCTGAGCCCGAGTAGAGACACCCATTCTTTCCATGCCGTCCTCCGACGGTCTTTAATCTGAAGAGGTCGTGATCTTAATTTGTGCATCTTAACCAGCATCACCCCCAGCATAACCATGTTAAAGAGCATCACCAGCCCGAGATAACCATTCACAGTAATGTAGCTCACTATCTGTGTGCTTATCCAGCATCTAAACGAGAAGAAGCCAATGAAAACACTCCTGTTACAGGCCTGAGAGATGATGAAGTAAAAGTGCAGTGCAATTTTTGAATAGAATGACCTTACAGAGGTGTAACTGTTGAGCCTTCTTTATCTGTGTAAAATGTATATTTGCCATACACTTTAGTCACACCGCATATCATCACTGTAATAGTGGGTACACCTAAAGGAAAAGATTAATACAATAAAACATGCTTATACATGTTTAATTTAAATGTAATGATACTTAAAGATCAGTTCACCCAAAAATTGTCATCATTTATTTGCATTTAGTTTTTACGTTCAGGGATAGAAAATAAATAAACAGCTTGAATATTCAATCTCTGCATGTGGCCATGAAAAAACGCCCCTTCCCGCTGATTGGTCAACCAAACATTAAATCGTGCAGTCATTAGATGTTTCCCAGTTCCGCGCAACAGAATAATAGTCCTCCACTGCTACACTTGTACGGATTCTTAGTGCATTTATTTCAAATACAGAGTTCTGGCATGAAACTCTAGATGGCGCAGTCCGATAGGTCTAACTCAATCTGACCTAATGACATCATTATCACATGGCACAGCTGATTGGTTCTCTCCTGTGTCAGTAGCCAATGAGCTTGCAGCTCAACATTCAAATATATGACTAGTGCTTGCCGTAGCAGTTGCAGCTTGCTTCAGAAACACTCCAACTTCCCCAGCTCCACCTGTATAGATCTGCTACGAGGTGATTCATGTATGCTATATGGGGGTTATTTCATGTAT